CTCGTATATGGATTGAGCCCTTAAGAAGCAAGATTTGGAGGTCATCAAAATTAGTATGTACAATGCACGTAGCAGTCATTTCAAACTACCTGCAGTGCCTTGCTATTTTATTTAAAGTCTAGCATAGGCATAAAAAGATGGAAAGATATGATGTTCTCAAGTACCTTGCAATGTCACAATCAAGATCTGCACAGGTAGCAGAGTGGAAGCAATGAAAATGACTGGTGAGGTAAAAAAACTTCAGAATTGAGAACTTGTGAAGTCCCAGTTTGCTAGGAGGCCAAGGCTGGTGGGGAGAAATGCTCATTCCAGGCATAGAGAAGAGCCCAGTGTCACAGTAAGGGTACATGATGTGTTCTGGGAGTGACAAGTACACAGGCACAGTGAGGGCAGGGGGTATGAAGGGAGAATGCAGAAAGGCTGGATAACAGGAAGGGCCAGGTCATTATTTTTTTGGTGGCAACTGATTTTTTCTGAACACTTTATTTTAAAAATCCCAGTATACAGAAAGCAGATGAAACTGTGCTTCTCTGGCTATGGAGTGTTTGCTGGTGGCAAGACCCACTTACAGAGCCTCTTCCCCCACTCTCCCCACGACTATCCTACTACAGTGCCCCTGAGGCCCCTCAAAGGAACCCTAGGGTTCCATGGAACAAAAGGTGAAAATTACTACCAGAGGCACGCTTTTTTACTTGTGCTTTAACTTTTTCTATTTTTTCTATGTATTAACTTATGACATCTTTATATATGAAATTACACTCTCAGTAATCTTACCTTTGAATCTCCTTCAGACTTTCTTCCCATTGCTAGTCTACAAAAGGCTGTTTTGTTAGATCAAAAACTTACCAGAACTGGTTGACTCACGGCAGCGTTATTATGGCCCGGTCCCAGATATTTTGGGCATGGTTGACCTGGTGATTCTTCATTTCCATTTCTGCATATTTCAGCCAGAGTGTTATATTTCAATAGTCTACATCTAAAGCACGCTCGTATATGGATTGAGCCCTTAAGAAGCAAGATTTGGAGGTCATCAAAATTAGTATGTACAATGCACGTAGCAGTCATTTCAAACTACCTGCAGTGCCTTGCTATTTTATTTAAAGTCTAGCATAGGCATAAAAAGATGGAAAGATATGATGTTCTCAAGTACCTTGCAATGTCACAATCAAGATCTGCACAGGTAGCAGAGTGGAAGCAATGAAAATGACTGGTGAGGTAAAAAAACTTCAGAATTGAGAACTTGTGAAGTCCCAGTTTGCTAGGAGGCCAAGGCTGGTGGGGAGAAATGCTCATTCCAGGCATAGAGAAGAGCCCAGTGTCACAGTAAGGGTACATGATGTGTTCTGGGAGTGACAAGTACACAGGCACAGTGAGGGCAGGGGGTATGAAGGGAGAATGCAGAAAGGCTGGATAACAGGAAGGGCCAGGTCATAATTTTTTTGGTGGCAACTGATTTTTTCTGAACACTTTATTTTAAAAATCCCAGTATACAGAAAGCAGATGAAACTGTGCTTCTCTGGCTATGGAGTGTTTGCTGGTGGCAAGACCCACTTACAGAGCCTCTTCCCCCACTCTCCCCACGACTATCCTACTACAGTGCCCCTGAGGCCCCTCAAAGGAACCCTAGGGTTCCATGGAACAAAAGGTGAAAATTACTACCAGAGGCACGCTTTTTTACTTGTGCACTACCAGAGGCACGCTTTTTAGGCCCCTCAAAGGAACCCTAGGGTTCCATGGAACAAAAGGTGAAAATTACTACCAGAGGCACGCTTTTTACTTGTGCTTTAACTTTTTCTATTTTTTCTATGTATTAACTTATGACATCTTTATATATGAAATTACACTCTCAGTAATCTTACCTTTGAATCTCCTTCAGACTTTCTTCCCATTGTGCATATTTTATCCAGTTACTAATCATAGTCCTTTTTTTTTTCGTACGTTATCTTCAAAAGTCTGGAAGAAGGCAAAAGGATCAAATTAAAGGGTAAACAAATAAAAATGGCATCATCCTTTGCCTGTTATAAGCCTTGTCCTAAAAAGGTTATTCATTTTGTTCTTATTTAAGAGAAATTACATCCTGATATCTTTGAGGAATAAGAAACCCACTACACAGAAGGTTATAATCACAGGTGTTTCTTTAAAATCTTAACTATAAACAAAGAGAAAATTTAGATATAAAGAATTATTAGCAGAATTGTTGATATTTTCTTTTGTTGCCCATGACAACGAAGTGACACTTTAATATACTCTATACTAGTTCCTAATAAAAAAAATGTTTGTGAATGTTACCTATAAGTCCTCTCAGTAATTCTCAGAACTTCATACATAACTCATTGAGAATAACAAATAAGAACATACAACAGGATTAGTGGTTTACAATAATCCCACATTCTAGAGTGAGGAGGTCAAATCAGATCCCAAAGTCTTCTCATGATTCTTTCCCAGGTCACAACTCTTCGCACAGAAGGTGACACAGACGGAAGAACACAGTGCAGCCCTAAGTTTCAACCCCTCTTCCAGTCCCAGTTGTTCCACTTGTTAAACTTCTACCCATCTTTGATTCAGCCCCCAACATTATGTCTCTGGTAGACTTGACTTCTTCATACTTTAAACAGACAACTCATGCAAGTTTTATACAGTTCAGCAAAATGCAATTATCTGGTAATTAGAAGTTATATTATTTATATGCCTAGAAACACTAACCTCATCTTACCTTGCAGACTCTAACCAATGAAGGACTTTTCAAACTTTAACCTACAAATTCTTAACATTTAATAGACTGAAAGATATCACCCCGACTGACCTTCCTTTTCCTTAGTTTGTAATCATTTAATTCTTCTTCATCTGTGATCTTCTGCTGAGGTGGAGGTGGAAGCAGCTCAAGTTCTCTTTCTTTAGCTTCTCTTAAGAGTTGTTCTGCAGTTATCTGTACTTCAGCCGGGGCTTTGTTTTTCACCTGTTAAGAAAGAAGACACTTCTGTGTCTGATATATGCTCTTCACACAAGGTTTAAGAAATAAACATACATTTTTTAGGATGTGAACTTCAAAAGTATTATCACAAGACGACCTCTTTGTATGACATGTTCCCATATCTATTTCAAAGCCATAGGTAAAAGCCTCAAGAGAAAAAGGTGGCAAAAACAGTATCAGGTTTTCCCTTTTTGATGACTATAATAACAAACACTGAGGCTGTACAGGTAAAATTCTTACCAGACGTTTTGCTTTATCAAGATATGTACCACATCTTATCCAGCATTCCAACCTCTACTTAGAGAATTCTTCAACTTATTTTAATGCCCCTAGTGGACGACTGAGTTTGGTTTTTCATGGCATTTCAAGTCAAAGAAAATATTCAATAAGTTCCCGTTATTAGACCATAAGCTTCTGGAAGTCTTAGAGCTGTGCTGTCCAATACAGATGCAACGAGTTACATGTGATGGAGTCCAAATTAAGATGGGAGTAAGTGCAAAATACACACTGGTTTTGATGACTTAGCATGAAAAGAAGAATAAATTACCTCACTAAATTTTTTACATTAATTACATGTTGAAATAATAATATTTTGGATACATTGGGTTAAATATATTATTAAAATTAATGTCACTTGTTTTTTGTTTCACTTTGCGTTTGCTTTTTAATGTAGCTATGAAAAACTTAAAATTACATGCGTGGCTCCCATTGTATTTCTATTGGACCAGTGGTACCCAATAAAAGTTTATGGAATTGAATTATAAGCAATATTATTTAATGCCATGTGTGGAGTAATGCAGTGTTAAGTGCTTTATATGCATTCCTCTGGCCATCACGTAAATGGATACATAAAGGTCAAGCTCAAAAGAGCCACCTGCGCTGGAGAAACAGAGAGGAAGACTACCTGTAACGTTTTAGGACAAAGCCTGCCACATATTATGCACTTGGTAAGCATCAGCTATTGATGGGTATATCAGATAAGTCTATTATTAATATTAACTTAAACTACGCCATTTCACAATCCCTGTACCCTACTCTCATTCCCTCCACTATCAGCTAGGCTAACTCCAATCCAGCCTTCAAGGCTCGGCTTCCTCAGCAAAGTTTACTATAAAGACCCCTCAGCAACCCCATTTATTGTCGCCCACGGCGTATTCTACTTTGACTCAGTAACATCTCGCCATGTGGCCGTTTTACACTTGCTCGCGTTCTCAGTACCTCTCCTTGCCCACCTAAAAGCGTAGCTTCCCAGCGCCTAGCGCAGAGCCTGGCTCGCTCAGTCTTTGCTGAATGGCCCCACGACTCCTCACGCAAAAACCCCTCCCCAGGACCCCAGAACCCAGGCCGCGCCGACGCGGGCCGTGCTCCGGGGTCGAGAGCCTGCGCCCCCCACCCGCTGGCCCTGCCTCTCCCTGTCCCCCTCGGCCCCGCACGCGGTGAACCCGCCCCAGACGACACAGTCTCCAGCCCCGGGCACCACCGAGGCTGCGGCTGGGGAAAGCCCTTCTCCTAGGCCTCCTCCCGCCAGGCCCCTCGCTGTCGCCTACCTTGGCGACTTTGGGAATCCGCTGTTTCCCAGCCGCGGTGGAGGCCGCCATGTCTGCAGCAGCGGACCCCCGGGAGGCCCGCCTCCCCTCTCCCGGACTCTAGAAACCCACTCGGAGGGATCGTTTGTGCCCCAAAGCTTTCCCACAACAAGCTGGCTCCCGGAGCCGGAAGTAGAAGTTGTCGAACTGACCTTTGACCTCCCGCACGCACCGTTACGTGACAGCGTCGTTTCCGTGGTAACGTGGTAACTGTCCTCCTTGGAAAAGTTGGTCCAGCGCGGCGTCCTGGAGTTGCGGTTGAGAGTCTTATCTAAAGTTCTTGGCGAGAGAAAAAATGGCGACGGGTCTGGAGCGCACGCGTCAGGAAACAGCGTGATCCTGAGAGCTGTGTGCTGTGATACCAGAGTATTGACTGCATTTCCAAGAGCAACAAAGGACGAATAAATCTTTCAACAACGATCCTACATCGACAAATAAGCGGCAGCGGGTTCGAGGTTTTGGAGCCGACACGGAGAAGGACTCCTGGGGGTGCCCAGGCCCGGCTGCGGGAACAATATTGGCGGCCCACAATTCCTTAAGTTATTTCTCTTACATTTATAACTATAATCAATGATTTAACAAATGAATATTTGATTTAATCATCTTTGGCCTCTACTCAAAGACACAAACACCTTAGAATACTTCTGATCACCACCCTCCCATCTCACATGTTTTTGTCATCTGCTAATTCAGTTCAGCTTTTTAAGAAAAATTTATCATTATTACTTTTCTTTCTGCTATCAATGCTTATTTAGATACACGATTTCTCTTACATTTATAACTATAATCAATGATTTAACAAATGAATATTTGATTTAATCATCTTTGGCATCTACTCAAAGACACAAACACCTTAGAATACTTCTGATCACCACCCTCCCATCTCACATGTTTTTGTCATCTGCTAATTCAGTTCAGCTTTTTATTTTTAAGAAAAATTTATCATTATTACTTTTCTTTCTGCTATCAATGCTTATTTAGATACACCTGTATGTTCACCTTTTTATCCCCCAGCACTTCATCTTGTATTCCACTGCTTTTTCAATTTTATTCTTCCTGAAATACACCTTTTCCTAGTTCTTGCAACAGAAAGAAATACTGCTTTACAATAGTATTTAGAAAAGAAAGAAAGAAGGAAAGAAGAGCAGAACTGTGGTTACTAGAGGAGGAAAGAGGAAGGGAGGAGGGGGATAGTGAGAGGCTGTTAATGGACACAAAACAACTAGACAGGAAAAATAAGTTCCTTTTTTTTTTTTTTTTACTGACCGGTAACGGGACCGCAACCCTCGGCGCTGCGCCCGCACCACGCTCAGCCAGTGAGCGGGAACCGATCTCCACACGGGATCCGAACCCTCTCCCGCCGCGCTCCCAAGCGGCGCACTCCCCAGTGCACCACCGGGCCGGCCCAGGAAAAATAAGTTCTGTTGGAGTACAGTTGAGCTAGGCATCTATAATTAACATTAATTTATTGAATGTTACAAAATGGCTGGAAGAGAGGAGATCGAATGTCTTCATCACAAAGAATTGATTAAATTTTGTGATGATGAATCTGCTAATTACCTTGATTTAATCGTCACACCTTGTATACATGTATCGATATTAAACTCTATAACCCACAAATATGTGTAATCAATACGTTTCAATAAAAAATTATAATAAAAAACATAGTATTTTAAAAATATTCTGAAAACTGTAGCCCATATGTCAAATTCAGCCCATCACTTACTTTGTATGGTCTGTGGACTAAGGATTTTTGGTTTGTTTTTTTTATAGTTTAAACACTTGAAAAAAATCAAAACAATATTAAATGACGCATATAAATGATGTAAAAGCCAAATTGCAGTGTCCATAAGTAAAATTTCATTGGAATATAGTCATGCTCATTTGTGTTCATATTGTGTCTGGCTGTTATTATGCTACAAGAGCAGAGTTGAGTAGTTGTGCAGAGAACATGCAGCTTATAAAGTCTAAAATATTTATTATCTGGTCCTTTACAGAAGAAGTTTGCAAACCCCAGTGCTACTGGCTTCTATTGTTGCTGATGAGAAATATGCTGTCAGTGTAATTATTATTCTTTTACAGGCAATATTTATCTGGTTGCCTTGAGGTTTTCTCTTTGTCTTTGGGGTTTTGTAGTTTCACTACTATGTATTTAGGGTTAGTTTTATTTTCCTGCTCAGTACTGCGTATTCATGTCTTTCATCAGTTCTAAAAATCATTAGTCCTTATTTTTAAACATTTCGTTCTTTTTGGAATTCCTATAAGACATAGTTTTATTTTTCAATGGGTCTTGTATTTTCTTTCTAATTCTATCTGCTTCTTTCTAGATATTATTCATAACTGTCTTCTGGTTTATTAATTCTCTTTAGTCTTATGTAGTATGTTTTAACCCATCCAATTAATTTAAATTTTAGTAACTATGTTTTCCATTTTGAAGTTCTGAAAATAGTTACCTGTTCTCTTTTCATGATGTTTACTTCTCTTTCTATGTGAGATTTCGTATTTCTGGTAATTACAAACATACTTAGTTTGTAGTCTCTTTCAGAGTCTTATCTAAAGTTCTTGGCAACTCCATACTACACAGATAGTGTAGCTTGGGATGCCACACCCACTTTAGTCTAGAATTTGGACTTCTCTGAAGTATTTTTGTTTTGTTTTTTTACCTAGAGCTTTGTAGAGAAAGCTTTCTTGTCACTTCTTTGGTCTGATGAGTTTAATTTTTCTGGTCTCCACATTCACAGAGGAGCCCATCCCTCCAAAGTCTCAGCTGGATAGTGGCTCTGTTTGGAATGAGGTCTGTGCTATCCCCATGGAGTGTTAAAACTCTTTCCCCTAGAGCCTGTATCAGATCTGATCACCTCCTGAGCCAGTGCTCACAGCATCCATTGCACCATGGGTGAATTTCCCTTGCTCACTCTCTTCCTTTTTTTTTTTTTTGTTTTCTTTTTTCAAGTTCAGCTCTTGAATTATACTTTCCTATTTTATTCAGAATTTTTATATACTTGTAGCATTAGTTTATGATATCATGTCTAACAAACAAGATTTCTCATTCCAATTTTGCTTTTAAATTAAAACCCAAACCAGGTAGCTCAGCTGGTTACAGTGTGGTGTTACCACACCAAGGTCAAGGGTTCAGGTCCTGATACCAGTGGGAAAATAAACAAAAAACAAAAATAGGAACGAGAGTATTTATGGCTAGCTTTGACAGGAGTCTAGACATCGTTAAAGTCTTTCTACCCAAATAAGGTAAAAGATAACATTCATAAATATGAACATGTGTTGTCTCTACTAATCTGCCATGTCTTTGTAGGAAACACCCAATCTCACAATCATGGAGGCTGTGGAAAAGATAACTGAATGTTTAATTGCTCAGATGGTAGCTAGAAAGGTTCTGATTGCCTCCTTTGAAATAAGGCCATCATTTTAGTGCTTCCCAGTGCTTCTACTAGATTTGAAGTGAGGAAGGTCTTGAAGTGAGACTCCCTCCAATGATTAACTCCCTAATGAGCTATGTGCCCATCCCAGCATGTATGGCGCATGTTTGAGCCCATGAAATAGAAAATTCTGTCCTAAGTGATGCATGTGCTGAACCCAAAAATGAGGGGACTAGGATTGGGGCCAACAGTATCAAAACAGGACTTCACATGAAAAAGTTCTGGATATGGATAGTAAGGATTGTGGCATAATAATGCAAATGTATTTCATGCTGCTAAAGTGTACACTTAAAAATGGTCAAAATGGTAAATTTCATGTTACATATGTTTTCCTACAGTAAAATACAGGATTTCAACCTTTGATATGAAATTTTATGTTTTTCACAATAAAAAGATATTAATGCATTACTTGTGTAATTAAAATTATTTTTAGAATTAAATATTATAAAAGATTAACAGAGTTAGAACATGAAATCAAGTCATATTGCAGCTGGACTATGTAAAGCCATCTTAGAAAGGAAATGCTATCCGGTCACCAAAACTTGACTGCAGCCTGATTAAAGGTGTGTTTATCTAGGAAAGAAAATGCCTGTCACAAAGAGAATTGATTGGCTCTATGGTCTTCAACAATGTAGAGATGCTCTGGCCAACTATGAAGGTACTACCCAAACATCGCCCATATCTGGCTTACTTGGCTTGATATCTCTATTCGGTCACCAAAACTTGACTGCAGCCTGATTAAAGGTGTGTTTATCTAGGAAAGAAAATGCCTGTCACAAAGAGGATTGATTGGCTCTATGGTCTTCAACAATGTAGAGATGCTCTGGCAAACTATGAAGGTACTACCCAAACATCGCCCATATCTGGCTTACTTGGCTTGATATCTCTATTGTAGGTGTGGGCCCCTCAGGTTCCAGAAGCTATGAGAGGCTTCTTAATGTCCACTATTTTGAGTCCTGAGAATGTCCATGCTCAATAATAATAATGATGATGATGATGGGTAATATGTACTGAACATTTAATTAGATGTCAGACACTGCTTTCAATGTTTTGCTTATAACTCATTTATAAAACTCTTTGAGGTATGTACATTATCTCTCATTTACAGATAAGGAAACTGAGGCACATAGAGTTTAAGTAACTTGCCCAAGATCACATAGCTAATAAGCAATGGAAATGGTCTCATCCTTGGTACTCTTACCACAGCCCCATGCCGGTTCCCTGTAAGCCACCCTGTGAGAGCTGGGCTTTCCATGTAGTTGCTCTACAAAGAGAGAGTGCATGGGTAGCTTTCCCACAGTTTAAAGAAATGTTTATTTACGTCTGCAAAGTAAGAAAAAGATGTGAACTGATATTTCAAATCTTGGAAATGTTACATAAATACCAAGATTTTCTTCCTTTGCAAAATGTGATGATCTGCCATCCTAAGCCCACATTTCCACAAGGCCACACTGGCTGGAGCTGAGAGTAGTGGGAGCTCCCCAGTTTACTGCAATCCCTCTTGACACCAGGCTGTGTGACTGGCTGCATAGCACATGTGAGAGGAGAGATGGTTCTCTACCACCCTGTTCTATCAAAGGAGAGAAAGTCGGACTTGTAGTTGTCCTATATGACTTGTTAACTGCCTGGGCTACAAAATATCTGAATTGCCACCACAACCACCACCCCCATTTTAAATGAGAATTTATTAGAAAATGAATAAGTTGGCATTTTGGACTCTTATTTCAGTTTCCATGAGCTTAGACAATGTGGGGCTGTCCCTAAGAGCTGTGTTTGCTGTGAGGGTGCTGATGAAGCCCTGTTGAAAGCCTAATAAGTTAAGAGTGGCAAAGGCCACTGGATGAGGATTTTCCTGGCTGCCATCTGCTGTCTTCCAAGTACCCCTCTGCATCACCCCACACCCCACACCCTTAACATCTGAAGGTTTGTGGTTGACAGCAATCAATCTGGAGTTAAATCTGAGCACCAGAGGACAGTGAGAACAGGGGACCACTTACCCACAGAGCCAGCAGGGTGAAGTGGCAGAGGGTGTGCTGGAAAGAAATGCCCAAGGTTCTATTTCTCACCTAACATGTAAGTCCCGAGGTAAGTCACTTCACCTCTTGGGCCTCAGTTTCCTCATCCAACAAAGGCTATCCAGTGCTCTTTCAGACCCCTGTGGCCCTCAAGTTCTTTGGTACTTTAGCAAAATGGAAAGTATTCAAGGAAAGATTCAAACAACAAAAAGCCAAATGATATGATGCATTTTGCAAGAAAAACATACATACTGTATAATTCTATTTATATGATGAGCAAAAATTGTCAAAAATCACCTATACAAAAGAAGTCAGAATAGTGGTTATCTTTGGAGGGGGTAATTGACTGGGAGTTACCATGAGGCGGCCTTCCAGAGTGCCAGAAATGTTCCATATCATTCTTAGAGGCAATGTGGTGGTGAAAGATTGATTTCCCTATTTTAGAGCCCGCTGGCTAGTATCTAATATGGTTTTCCCTAGGAAGGAAGAAAGGGAGGTGTCTTAGTCCATTTCCTGTTGCTTATAACAGAATGCCTGAGACTGGGTAATTTATAAAGAAATGAAATTTATTTCTTACAGTTCTGGAGGCTGGGAAGTCCAAGATCAGGCAGGCTGCATATGGTGAGGGCCTTCTTGCTGGTGGGGACTCTGCAGAGTCCCATGGTGGCACAGGGCAGCACGAGGTGAGGGAGCTGAGCGTGCTTGTTCAGGTCTCTCTTCCTTATCTTATGAAGCCACCAGTTCCTCTCCCATGATAACCCATTCATCTACTAACCCTTAATCCATTCATGAGGGCAGAGCCCTCATGATCCAATCACCTCTTAAGGCCCCACCTCTCAATACTGCCACCTTGAGGATTGAGTTTCAACATGAGTTTTGGAGGGAACAAACATTCAAACCATGCAGGAGGGAAGAAAAGAAGGAGAAAGACAGACACAGACACTGAGACATTGAGAAAGAGGTTAAAATTATTTAGTGACCTACTGTTCCTATTAGGAGCATTTACCAAAGTGTCTTTCTAGAACTTTAGGCTGTCCACTGTTTCTGTCATTAGGGATTCTGTTCAGAAAGGGTGTGGGAAAACTGGGTTATACAAATAAATCAAGTTACTTTTTATGGAACTTCTCAAGACTTTAATGGGTAGGGCAGTCCATCAGGAAGGCTATTGCAAGCATTCCCTACACTTACTTAACCACAGAAACTTTTTTTGTCTAGAATATCTCTCAGGGCTGCTGTCCTTCAAGGGCTCCACTTTGGGGAACTCTATTTGGAACATAGGCAGTGGCTGTCAATATTTCTCTGTAACTCTTGAGCAAATGCCATGGTAGCCAATTAAATATGAGAAAATGCGGGATCAATAAATAATTCCTTTCAATGTTTTTCAATCCTATTGTTAGGACATATTAAAGTAGCTTTGTTGGAAACAAAAAATACAGTTGCAGAAATTTCTAGTCAAGCCAATTCTCAGAAACTTCATTCTCCTCTGGAGAACCATGCCAGCTGGTTTGCAGTGACAGACATCATACACTACCACCAGGGGAAAATGTGTCGCCCCGGTACTCCCATACCACATTTACTCTGACCATAAGAAAATTGAATTAATGTCCAATTTTGTGGGTGTTGTAACCAAACTGGCTTGTCATCTCAGATTAATAGTGGACTGTTTCCTGTCTTTTTGGGACAGGATAAAAAAATGTCCATACTCACTTCCCCAAGAGGGAAGGCGGAAGTGGTTCATCGCTGGAGAACAGAGTCACAGGATATTAACTGTATTAAAAGCCTCATTCGAAAATTTACCTAGAAGCTGTTTGGGAGGCTTAATATCATCTATCTTCTGTAAGGACATAGCTAAGTAAGTTCAAGAACATTTATCAATTTTATCACTTACCAGGAAGGGGTCCCACTCCTTTGTCCTTATGGGCCTTATAGTGAGGGTATGGGCAGCTCACCGCACAGTGAATAAACATGTAGCAAGAAATTTATGGGAACAGCCGGTCTCTACGTCCTGTAATAACATGCAAATCGAAAAGGTTTCTTGTGGGTTTTGGATTCAAGCAAACTTGGGCTCAAATGTCAACTGCCTTTTGGAGTCACTTGGGACAAGTTAATATTAGCTACCAGATTTTATAACAAATAAGAAACATTAGCTACCAGATTTTATAAAATAATTTTATAAATTATTTTATGTCAGGCTTTCTGCTTTGTTAGTATTTACTTTCATATCCACTTTGCAGATGAGGATGGGAGACCTGTCCAAGGTCAATGAGTAAGTGGCAGAGCCTGGATTTGCTCTTGACCACTGTTAAGAGTAAATGTTAAATTGTTCTTCCAAACTTTAAATTACGCATACTTTTTTTCTTAAAAGATCTTGTTTTCTCCCTGTATTGTTTGTTTATAGACCTTCTTACACTGGAGTATAAATATCCTTTCATCTGTTCTTCATTATTTTTATTGAAAATATGAGATTCCCCAGTATATTGGATATCATAAAGCTTTATATCAAATACAATTGAAATATTTAAACTAGGGCCAGCCTAAGACATTAAAGATTGTAGTTTCTGATTATCACACTGATGAATTAATATAAATTGGCACAATTTTACTGGAGGGCAGTAAGGCAATATGTATAAAATGCTTTAAAAATGTGTATCAATGAAATGATTTCATTTTTTGGCATTACAGTATACTAAATACCTTAATGATGTCTGCTGAATAGAAACTATTAAAATGTTGCTATACACATACACACAAGTGCAAAAGTTAAGGACTATGCAGAGAACATTATCAAATTGAAATCAGAAGCTTCGCAAGATAAGCAGGAACCAATACCAGCTTTCTCCTTGAGGATTTTTGCCATTCTAGAGACCTCATGTATCTGTTTTGACAGCTTTACAAAGAACATAGGATATCTACTCCCTCTAACTCAAGCAGGAAGTATGAGATCCCTTTGTATAAGACTGAGATGTTCATTGTAAGGAAAAAAAGATAAAAACCTACTGCATAAAAATGGACAGTAAGGAGACTAGCTTGTTTCACCCTTGGCATGGAATGGAGGGAGATAAAATCTCCCCTGAGAATTCATAAGCACAGGTTGATTTGAGATCCATGTTATTTATCTATGTGGTCCCAAAAAACTTCAAGTGGAGAATTTAATTAAAAATGGTCACAGGTTAGAAGTGTGTCCAGGAGACTGGCTGAGATAAATGCCAAATCAGGTCTGAAGGGATGCAGTTTCAGCCCATACTTCAAATAATATCCACAGATTAAAGCCCAAGGAACATGAGCTCACAGGGAAAAATCACAAATACACAAAGAAATATACACCATTAATAAGAACCACCAACAAAAATTATACAGCAGAATCAGACTCAAAGACTTCAGATATTGTTAGACAAAGGATATAAAATAACTATGTTCACTATATCTAAAATGAAAAGACAAGTTTAAAAAGATGATCAAGGAATAAAAAAACCCTAAAAATGAAAAATAATGATTGAACAAAAGTCAAAAAGACCATCTAGAAATGAAAATATAGTTGAAATTAAAAGCTCAGTGGATGAGTTAAACATCATCGTAGACACAGTTGAAGACAGAAGAAATGAGCTGCAGGACCAATATCAATAAATTTTATCAGCACAGAGACAAACAAAAATATGAGTGGAAGATTGAACGTATTAAGTCTAATCAGACTTCTATATGGAGAAAGTAGGAAGTCAGAGTTGATATTTGAAAGGAAAATGGCTGAGAATTTTCCAGAATTGTTGAAAAGCACTAATTCTTAGACTTAGAAAACCCAATGAATTCTGAACAGGATAAATACACAGAATCCACAACTAAACACATCATAATGAAACAGCAAAACACCACAGCTAAAAGGATCTGAAAAACAATCAGAGAAAAAAGACAAATTACCTGCAAAGAACTAAAGGTTAGGGGCTGGCCTGGTGGCGCACTGCTACAGTGCGCCGCTTGGGAGCGTGGCGGCGCTCCCGCCAAGGGTTCGGATCCCACATACAGACTGGCCGCTCACTGGCTGAGCGAGGTGCGGGCGCAACACCGAGGGTTGTGATCCCGTTGCCGGTCCCGGTCGGGTACAGGCTTGACACTGAGGGTTGCGATCCATTGCCGGTCACGAAAAAAAACAAAAAGGAAAAAAAAAAAAAAAGAACTAAAGGTTAGACTAATAGGTGATTTCTTACTAGCAACAATGCTAGCCAGAAGATAGTAGAATGTCTTCAATATTGGAGAAAAAATAACATCAACTCAGAATTGTATATTTAGTGAAAAAATTTTTTAAGGCCTAGGAGAAAGGAGCGAATTTTTGGACCAAAAAAATAAGATAGTTTACAGTTGACTCTAAATAAAGGAAATACCTCAGAATATGCTCTAAGGAGAAAGAAGAATGATCTAAGCTGGAAAGCCCAAGATGCAAGAAGGTATGTAAACAAAAATATGGGCAAATATGTGGGTAAATTAAGAAAAAATATGTATAAAGACAATGTTATTGATAATGACTAACCTGTGAGATATAAGTAATAAATTAGAATGAAAATACAGGACAAAAACAGCATATTGGTTGGAGGAGCATGATCAGAATGAAAGTTTTCCTAGGGTTTTATTCAAGAGGAAGTGTGGTAGGTAGGGTACAAAGATGTTTCCCCACCTCACCATGAACCACACATCCTGGCATTTACTCATGAGTTTAGTCTCTTCTCACACTAAATCAGGGCTGGCCCTGTGTAGCCAGTAGAAAGCAGCAGAAGTGACACTTTATGACTTCAAATCGAAGTCATAGGAAGTCTCGCAACTTCCACTGGGTCTCTGGGAATGCTCCTTCTCAGAACCCAGATGCCATTCTGATTAAAATTCAAGTCACATGGCTACATGCAGGTGCTTCATGTACATTTCACAGCCTCAACTGAGCACCCAGCCAACGACCACCATCACCTGTTAGCCATGTGAGTGACCCATTTTAGACATGGAATCTTCAGATGACTGCAGCCACACCCTCCGTCTGACTGACATCACACGCAAGACGCCAAGCAAAAACTGCTCAGTTGAATCAAGTCAACCCACAGAACCGTTGGAGATATAGTAAGTTGTTGCGTTAAGCCATTAAGCTTTGGAGTGGTTGGTTATTCACCAGTTGATAACCAGAACAGAGGGTAAAGACGTTGTTAGGAATAAATATTAGCATGGTTATGATAATCATTAAAAAATAGGCATAGAGATTATAATTTCTGACCTATAGAAGGGAAAATGGAATGAGAAATTTAAAAACCCTGAATCCAAAAGAAGGCAAGAAAAGAGGAAGAAAAAAGAAACAGAAAATGTGGGACATATTAAAATCACATAAAAAGATAGGAAAAATTTCATTATATTAGTAATCACCATAAATGTATTTGGGCAAAATTCTTCAGTTAAAATATTAAGATGAGTAGATTGTCTAAAAACAAAATAAAACAATGAACAGTCATATTTTACATATGGGGGACATACCTAAGATATAAAGGTACAGAAAAATTTAAAATCAAAGTATTGGGAAAAGAGATAGACCAGCCAAAATCTCATCAAAAAAAAGGAAAAGGGGTGGGGTGGGGCTAATATTGCTATATCAGTAGCAGACAAAATATACTTCAGGGCAAAAAGTACCACTACAGATAAAGCCGGCCCCTTTATAATGATAAAAGGTTTAGTTCTTGAGGGAGATATGACAGCTTTAACTTATAAGTAGATGTTCCTGACACAGCTCAAAATATATAAAGCAAAAATCAATAGAACCAAAAGGTGGAATAGAGATACCATCATAATGGGAGATTTTAATATACTTCTCTTAATAAATGGGATATCAAGCAACTAAAAATCAGTGATGATATAAAAGATTTCAACAACAGTGCAAAGAACTTGATCTAATGGACATATGCACAGTGCTTCACATACATGTATTGGAGAATACAAAATCTTGTCAGGTATACATGGGAATGTGCATAAAAACTGACACTCTCATAGGCCTTAACTCGGGCTCAACAAATTTCAGTGTTTAGTATCACAAATAACACATTCTTTGACCACAATGCAATGGAGTTAGAAATCAATAGCAAAAAGATAATTGGGAAACCCCTGCATGTTTGAAAAATTTTAAATGCAACTATAAATAATCATGGGTCAAGAAATGAATCAAAATAAAAGTTGAAATACATTGAGTTGAATGAAAATAAAACTATATTTATATATTAAATGTATATGTCTATGCATGTAAATATAAATATGTATTATATATAAAATGCACAAATTTAAATTTGCGTTATGCAGCTAAAGCAGGTGTGGAACTTTATTGCACTGGAGGCTCCCGTGCCTCTCCCTGTCCCTTCCCCTGATATAGTCCCTTTTAAATCTGGGCTTCACTAAGATTTCCATCAAGTATAGTGAAATAAAATAAGTTTTGACTGTACCTAGAAAATTTCCTAAACTGATTGAATAAATGAGACATTAAAAGAGATCTAATTTCTATTGCCAGGTAATATCTGAGCATTAACATAGTTTTTGTGAAATACATATGTATGTGTGCATTTGTGTGCATGTGCGTGTGGATGTATATCTTTTAGTTTGGATTTGGCTTATTACAAAGAACAGTCTAAAATCCACTGTTGAAAACATGTCTTCTCTCTCTACTCTTTTCTTCCTCATCTCTCCCTTTTTTTGCTCCCATGATGATTATCTGTCCTGTAGAGGACCTAATGGCTAAGAGATAATAAGAAGTGGAGATTATATACACAAAAGGATAATTCTGCAAAAGTTATTTTTTACAGTCAGCTGTTTGGAAACTGTAGTGCATTTTCCCATTGAAACAAAGTTATTTGTGGCTGGCTTCCCAGGGCAACCCACAAAAGCTTATTTAATCTATAATGTCTGTGCGGTCTAGCACTTTGCTAATTGTGCTATAGAACCCAACCTCCATCCTAAGTCTCCCATGAATAAATGCATTTCAAGTTAGAATTGGGATTCCAGGAACACATTGTCCCTTGCTTCCCTGAGGGGATGGCAGTGCCCAATGCTTGCCCACCTCCTCCTCCACTGGAGGAGGCACCACCCCTGTCATCATAGCTGACATGTACAGGGTTTTGTGCCATGGGCGTTTTCTCATCTGAATTAGAGGGAGGACTCTCAGCTTCAGGCCATTGATTATGGTTCTGGGTGCCTAGGGCAGAGAAGCCCAGAAGTCCAAGAGCTGGAGGGGGATGCCTCAGGTGGGATGAGGGGTAAGGGCTTCAGCTAATCAGACAGGGAGAGGTTGCAGGGCTGCGTCCACTTGCTAAGGAGCCCCCTGTGTGGACACTGTTTTCTAGAAACCCGAGGGACAGCCTGGGGTCTGCCTCTTTCCTTGATAGCCAGTGTCTGGGCAGGGCCCTCAGGCCAGGTGCCCCTAATTCATTCCCCTGTGGCTGAAGGGTGTGATCATATGTGGCTGCCTGTGACTTCCTGTGAGAGGGGACAGTGGCTGTAGGCACTGAGATTGACAGCCTGAGCACAATGTCCATCCATCTGGTGGTATCCTAGGTGATTTTATTTGATACATGCATGAGCAATTTTTGGTTTAAATGCTATATTTTTATAGTTACCTTCTGTGTATAGCAAGGGATACTGGTTTTCTATTTAAGGTACTCATGTAAATTTCCTATTAAAATGTTCTTATTTAAGCCCAAAGTGTATTGATTTAAAGAAAAAATAAAGCAGGAAGTGCCGTGTGTGAGAGCCTGCTGCTTGGTGAACTGCTCTAGTAAGTGACACGTCGCCAGGTGGGAAAAAGCAGGCTGTACACAATATGGATCGTGTGATTCCGTTTTTAAAAACACACAAAGTACATTTCAACCTTCAAAAAAAGATAAGTCTGGAGAAATAGAAACCAAACTGTTGGCACAGATTGGTTATCTATGGGAGGTGGTATTAAAGGTGACTTTTCAAATTATTTTTTTTCTTGTATTTTCTCATTTTGCCTGCATTGACAGTGTATTTCTTTGTGATAAAAACGTAACTGGGAAACATCTATAGCTTTCTTTCTATTCTCTCATTGTCTCTCCTCTTCCTTCTTCAGTTGTATGCTTTCTTCTCCCCTATTCTCCTCAATAAGGAAAATGGGTAACTCCTACCTTCTTTTTTTTTTTTTTTTTTGAGGGAATGTTTAAATATTTTTCCTTCCAAATTAGGATACCAGTAGTTTTCATTTTGCTGAAAAAGTGAAAACTGCATTTCAATTTATAGGCAAACGGTTCTCCATATGGTGAACTATATACTTTCTCTAAGTCATAGCTCTTGCTGTCTT